GAATAAGAGAGAGGGGAGAGAGAGAGAGAGAGAGAGAGAGAGAGAGAAATTGAGAGAGTTAGTTGCGAGTGGTGATAATATTCCATTAGACGCTATTATATTCATCGGCGGGTCAATGCGCGAGAATTTTTTGCGTGGAGGGAACATATTTCCCTGCGTCGATTTCGTTTCTTTAACTCCATTCTGCTCCCTTTCTCTTTTCCCATTTAAGAAAGCAATTATCCGATTCTACAGACATCCATTAACCCCCGTAGATAATCCTCCGGGTAACTGTTCCGCGCCAGTTCTCTCTTTGCGATTTTATAAAAAGTTCGATCTTCTAGGGAATTATTTTTAGGGTAAAACTTAGTTCAATATTAATGAATAGACCGCGAATTTTTATGTAAAATATTCTTTGCATCGATTGCAAAAAATGGAAAATAAATAGCAGGTTCGTTCTTTCTTTAATCATTTTTATATATTAAAAATAATACAATGGCATTCGTAAATTATTGCAAACTTTCTGTCGTTTCAAATGGCAACTACTCGATTTTGTCATAAATGCATAGAATCCGCAGTCTATTAACGAACACCATTTACAGGTATTACCATGGAGCGACAGAGTTTCAAGTAAGGGTAGTTACCCTCTTTATCTTCCATAGTTTTTAATATCCTAGAAAATTGTGTTTATGGCACAACTTTATTCAGCATGATAAACAACGTCTTCAATGTTTAGTATTGTTTTCTTTCGGTGCATTTACTGTCGCGTTTGTGTTACTATTCGCGTAGGTTAATCTTTACTGTACAGTGGAGTACGCAATCCAACAACTTCGAACGACTGTCACATTTAAACTATTTATTATTTTGGGTGCCAAAAATTGCTGAATATTCTCTAAACATACTAAAGAAAACAGCATTTTTTAAAATTATAACTAATACATAGTAAAACAAAACTCAGAAAGAGAAAGTGAAAAGTGATTTATTTTACCAAAAATTTCGTTGGTGTGTCGAATAAGAGTACAGAAAAGGTTAAACATTAATTTTTGTGTATTGGTTAGAAAGGATAAGGTACAAGAGGGTTAAAAGGGGTTCATTCGAGGGTTCATTCGATTTTGTGGAACCGTTTCCCTAAATTAATTTTCTCTCGATGCTAGACAATGGAACGACAAAGAATTTCATTTACGCATTATACTGTTCCAAATGAAATGTTAGAACATAATTGGACGGTTCAAATCCCAATCAATGTAACTCCACTTTTCTTTGGAAATCAGTTACGCAGTGCAAACACATCTTTATCTCATAGGATTTTTTGCTCGATAAATCAATCTAGTCTATCTCTTCATAAACAAACAATAGACACCAGCACGTATATCGATCATAGAATGATTGTACAAAACGAACAAAATTACAAAAATGAAAATAAACAAAATCAAATAAAATAATTAAATATTAATATTAATCTTTGTTTCATTTAATTATAATAAAAATTGTACTTTGTGTTATTAGTGGATTATTATCTTTTTTGCAGCCAATTTGCGAAATCCTTACTTATCTCAATTTTACGGTTAACAGACTTACATTGTTCGGCCTCTGAGCAGTCCAATTATTTTGTGCAACGCTGAAATGCGAAAATACTTTCGGAAACGAAGAATGAAAAGCAGGATACGCCGAGCACACTGCCAATACAGCTTTTGCATTCATCTAAAAATGTGACAACTTTAAACGAGGGTTGGATAAGGGTTAAATCCGGTTGCATCGGTGATATCGAAGCTGTACGTTCGACAATCGACGGTTCGCGGGATCCATGGAGATGGTTAAAACGAAACGTTTCGTGCAAACAGCGTCGATTATATGCACGCAATAAGGTCAATAAAGAATTTACATTCGCCGTAACTCGGCTTCTTTTTGTAATTTTCTGTATAAGTTCGGGGACAAGTTAGAATCGCCGGAAAGGCAAATACGTCTGCATGCATATGCACGAGACGACTAAACTAACCGACCAACCACCAGCCAGAGCCAGCCCAGCCATCCGGACGTCACAGTCACAAAGAGCACGTCACGGGCTGACACTATTGCTATTCTAAGCAAACACGTTGTAAGCAGCAGTCTTTTACCCGTACCCGAGCATTTACACAACAGACACGCATGTAAAGATAATATTTTGAATGTATAATGAACGGTGCGTCGCGGACCCGACGCGAAAACCTCGCAAAAAAATCACCGGACGAGAACGATCCGGAAGAAGATCGGGTTAACGATTCTACATTGCGTAGAATAATCGGTATATTTTCGTTCATCATGCTTTCGATATGTTTCGTCGTGTTATTAACATGCGAAAAGTAACTTGACACAAGTATCTTAATTTTCTCGATAGACTTGTTTCTTATGCAAAGTAACGATTATCTAAGTCACTTGTAAGAAACCGAAATTAGATAAATACGTATTTTGCTATTTAATAATTTAATTTTGTAGAAAATAGTGTAACGATGTCCTTCAATTTTCCTAATCACGTCACTGTTCTGTATTTCGTCTGTTCAATTATGTTCAAATCTTCATAAACCAAAAAAATACTATATTAACATTACATACTCCTCCGATAACACTACTTCAACACACCACTAAAAATTCTTATATCACGTTCGAAGACGATTTTTATGTTATCACATTTGTTTATATTCTTTAAAAAAAGTGTTAAAAGTGTAACTGTTCCATGAGTTATAAAAATCAGTTTTGCATACATAAAATGCATTGTCATATAAAATGGAAATACTGTAGGTCAGAAAAATTGTTTTGGAATCATAGTTGAAATGATTTCCAGTTGGGTTGAAGGATTGGGTTCGAAGGGTTGACTTTCGTTAATGCAGCCATTAGCATATATTCTATTAGTTTATAGAAAATAATAATATGCTGCTAAATCAGGAAACGTATAAAGAGAACGTCGTAAAACATTTAATTTTCCCAATGTTAATTGGCCATTATATTTTCCGGATTTCGAACGGATTTATCCGAAATGAAATTTCATTATCGAAAAGTAATAACAACAAACAATTCGCTACTCCGAAGTGCACGTGAAATCGGTCAGCGCTAATAACACTAGAAAACTTGTACCATTTTGCTCGTGACATTTTTGACGACCGGCGTGCCTGAACGCGGGCCGTATAAACGTGAAACCATGCATGCGTTTCCATGTTCCGTGGTGGAGCGGCAATTAATCCCATAGCAGTGAAAATGAAGCATAAAATCAACAAGAGGCGAAAGATATCGTGAAATAAATTAGATATAATAACGGGTAATTCGTAGTAACGCGTTACGCCGTTGTAACTCCGCACGGTGGATTATGGAAGACATTTATTTCCTGACACCTTTGCCTTATTCTTAACGAGATCGCTTTTTTATAAATTAAACTCTGCCAACTATTCACGATTTGAGTCAGTAAATCTTCTGAATTGCGCGCTACGGTTATTGAAAATTAATGGTAGATCACATATTTTCGTATTGCGATTATAAGTGTATAAAGTTTCTCTTTAATTGTCTTTGTATATAATACATAAAGAGATAAAGAAGAATAATTGATATTAAATTGACTTCATTTGTAATAATAATAATTTTATTATTATAATATTTTATAATAATACTTTATTATTCAATATTTATAGTATTTATATATAAATCAATTTGTATAGCTTGATTGTAGCTTAGTTTCTTGCTTAAGAAGTACTTGTACTAGGATTGCGAATACGAAGTAGAGCACAAATATCTGAAAAAAGACACTAACAATAAGACCTTAATGTAAAAATATGTATTAAAATAAAATTATTATTATCCTAAATGACAATGTAATATAAAATATTTTTCTTTATCTTTTTATGTTTTATATTCCACGATAATGTAGTTTAAAATTAAGGTAATTAATTAAATAATTGAAATAATTATCTAAATTAGGATGTATAAATTATGCATTACCGATATCAGAAAGATTTATGGGAGGGAACTAT